TACACCTTAAATGTTTTAACTAATAAAATGATGATCCATTAAAGCAGGCTTTAATGGATCATCATGAAAGTATTAAAGTCAAAGGCAGCACTGAAGATACAATTTGATTTTCATTTGTTAATGTAAATCAGTTTTTCAGCTGCGCTTCAAATGCTAATTTACCAATTACCACTACATAATGGCATTATAACAGCAAAAACATTAGTAAAGACTATAACACATACCCCTCTGGGGCATTTTATTGCACCCAGACTAACTTTTTCCACCCCTGACAAAAATCTATACTTACTTTTAAGCAAAATCTTCAAAGGGGAATTTGGAACCTGATAGTAATTGTATTCCCTTGAGTTTGGTACTCCCATTGCTCTTCTGTCGCTGAGGTTTGATATGCGCCAAACTGCTGTACATCAAAAGTCCTTAACGATGAGCTACAGTGAACGATCCCGAGGAAGAGGACAGTCTCCGCTCGGTCGGACCAGCTTGAAGAAACAAATGCCTGATCTAGTTCACCAAGCTGCGCAGACTAAGAATCACAACTCTGCTAATCATTGTTACATTTCCCCAGTTGCTGAAAAATGACTGATCCCCCACCACTTTTATCCCCTTCTACTAACAAACACACCACGACCCCAAAATAACTTTGAATCAATTCATGGAAACAGGTAGAATATAGGAGGAGAGCAAGTTGAGTGTCCTTGGCAGAAGGTGGCGTCTTTACACAAGAGCCCTAATCCTATCAGCTCTATTTAGAGCTGGGATAAAAATACTCAGAGGCAAAGTGCTAAACCTATTAGCACACAATAAACCGTTGTCAGACAATTACAGTCTGATTCAAAGGAAAGCCAATGTCTACTTCGAGGAAATGTCCTGAACAGGCGATTCTTTTTCTTTTCTAAGGCTGTGATAATTATAGAAATACGATGCTACTTTCTCACAACTGACAATGAGGCAGTTCATTGAATTTCACCAAACTGTGAGGTCTGAGCTTATGATGGTGATCGAAATGTCTAAGAGGTCATGCCTGTCTTGCAGGTAATGTATTTCCTTCTGCATATGAATGTGTTTTGCACATAAAGCACATCATGTACCAAGTAGGTCAATCTCTGATTGAAAAACTCTCTGTTGAGGCTCCTGCTGCTGCTCAATGCATAATGAATGGCAGTCTAGCGCAGCACACAGCACACAGGCTCTGTGAATGGATTGAACAGTGTTTATATAATCTGTCCTATCAGGCCAGGTCCTTAAACCCAGATTAGACACATGACTAAGCCAGGACACATTTAACACCTGAAACTATAAGTATTCAGAATAACAAAGGTGTGGCTAGGATGCAACACCTGAAACCCTGAGGCTTTATCTTACAGCCCATCTGGCAGGTGCTACATGAATGTATATGTAGTGTAAATAAAAATGCAGAAAGTGTCTCATTGTATTGGTTGAATTCAATGACAGTAAGTCCCATTATTATGTAGTGTTTAACTGATGTGCTTAAATACATCACTATACAGTAATCTCCCTACCGCGATGGTAATATTGGAAAATAATAATTTAATACAAAAGTGCTGGTCAAGGAGGAATATTAGAAGGGTCACTCAAGCTCAAGAGTTACATCACCACAAACTGCAAGTCAGCAAAGATGTAGAGAAGGCCATTGCTGGTTTGTGCTTTGCGGACATGATGTCCTAAGTATGAAGCTGCACTTATTTCAACATCTGCGAAGCCAATGTCCAGCTTCTTACCTCCGCGTTTTTTGCTCCTTGTCGAGTTTCGGGCACTCCCTTGTCCATCCATCCTACTCCTCCCCACACAGCCTCCCATCACTGTCCCTACATTTCAGATCAAGGAGAAATCTGTCATATTTTACATATTTTCGAATATAAACGCTTTGAAATGAACGTGCAATAATGTCACATAAATAAACTGTTGGTAATGATGTGAAATTAAGTGCCTTATATGAAAAGCACCATCAGGGAATGACAGCTCAGCACGCCTTGTTCTTATGAGGTCAGACGAGCTGATGTGTTTACGTCACGTGTACCGCCAGCTGACGGGGACACGCGCCTGAAGCTAATGCCAGCTGATTATTGCCCACGCACGCGTCCAGAGTTGTGTTTTTGCACTCTTACATTTTTTTTAATGAATCCAAATCAATGCATATATTTATTTTACATACCGGAAATCCAGTCTGCTAGATTATGCATTCGTCTGCAGTTTGCCTGCCACATCCGAACTTCAGGTGAAGTTAGAGCCTCACGCGACGATCAGCAGAAGAGGTAATCAGCCAAGTAGGAGGACAGGCACAGACCCAGTGTGTCTGTGCAGAGGCGATGTGTCCAGGTGGCCTCTGCAGAGCCTTTAGTAAATCTCAGCCGTTTCTCCAAAAATATGCGATCAGTATCCACATTTCCTCTAAATCATAGTGTACACAGCCTACCAACACAATCCGTCCACACTGATCCAGAATTAAAGACTTGCAGTCTGTACGCATGCGTAACTTAGAGCGGTCGCGTCAGAACAAGACAGGAAACTGCTAAACCGCTCCTTCAGGATAATAGGGTGGCTGAAACGTAATTTAGCCGTCTTTTAACCACCATTTAGAGTTTGAAACGACAGGAAAATGTCTCTAAAATAAGTCCTGTCAAAGACAAAACCTTTAAAATGAATTTATTGGGTTATCGCACAATATATTGTTACATTTTTCAACTGGGGTTTTATTCTGAAATGAATGGCGGAAGTTTTATTTATCATTCTTAGGTTAATTGATGCTATACTGTGGTCTCCATAAAACGTGACATTTCTACTACAAACAACTGCAGTTTTAGTTAATTTAAAAAAAAAAACACCACCGGCACAACTGTTACTCATCTATCTACAGTTTCAACTACATGAAAGTGCACAATCTGTCACATACAAATATGCTATTTCAACAAAGTTTCCGAAGAAAAACTAATCAAGCTTCTGAAATTTACAGCCTGTTCAGTCTATTTTGGTGGGTGGGTGCTCCCCTCCACAACACTGAATCTGAGTAACATGTTGCCTAACAAAGTGTGAAACACTAAATCAGTGTGGGACAGCTCATCTGACTAAGGTGTCCACAAACTGTGAATATGTTAAATCCTGACTAATCCTGTATTTGTGTTGTGAGTAATTAGTAGTTATGAATAACTATGGATGAATGCATAAAATGTGTAAATGTGTGTAACATTCTTGCGTTTTCTAACTTTTACAATGGGGGACTGTTGTTGTGATTTGGCGCTGTGTAAATAAAATTGAATTGAATTTTAAAATGAACCACTCACAGACAGTTGTGTGTAGACCTCTCGCAAGCATCTTTTTTTTTTTTGCCTATATTTAGGTGACAGCACACAGACTGACATTGAAATATCTAAATTTGCTATACGAGGACATCAGTGACAGTTTCAGGGCGTGAACATCATCATTGCAGTGTTTACAAGCTATAGCTTTTAAAAGTTAATCAGGAGCAATGAAAAAATAGCTTTTACTCCATTTTTGCACCTCACCAGCTGGTGACACCATAGGTGGCTGTCTAGTGTTCCTATGCCCAAAAAGTCACGATTATGCTGTATCCTTGTCTAGGCACATGGTAATCCATGCCAAGTTTAGTCCTGGCACAAAAAGCACAGCTTATCCGTTAGTTCATTTAGAGTGTACACAAGAAAGTGTAAAAAAAGAAACACATAATATAAATAACCTGACGTGTCTGATGAGGTGAGATGCATCAGTGTTTTGTTTTGGACAAGGTTCAGTCTCCCACAGTGGCATGACATATAATTCCTGAATACTGAGTACATAGAATTGAGCATCCAGTTCTCTGAGGGCTAAAAGATTATGTAAGCCACTCATCTCGCGATCTCCCTCACCTTGTTTTGACCTTCACAAAAACACATTTGGTTGCATATGCAGCTGTCAAAACTGCCCACAACTAATTTGTACCATACATGCAATGCTAAGCTCGGCCCACAGCCATCATAAATCTAGCTCAGTAATTTCTCTCAGCAGTTCACATTATCACTTGTTACAGAAATAAATAAATAATAATTTAAAAAAAAAAGATTTTTCTTTCTCTTTACTATCAATTATTCAGATCTTTTAAACAATGAAGAGTCCAAAGCCCATATTTCACGTGTTAAACGCTGACATCTGCTGGGAGACTGTGTATTGACAGGTGTGTTTGTGTGTGTTTCAGTGAGTGGGCGGGTGTGATTTGCAGTAGCAGGGTGAACGAGGGTTATAATCAGGATGAAATCTGCTTAATCTCTGCTCTCTTTATCTGCCAGCCTTTATTTTACACCCCCCCACCCCCCCCATAACTGACAACACCAGCACTGTTTTCATTTTACCAAGCAAATGCATGAATCACAAAATGTTTAATATTTACTTATTTCTAACTGTAATGTTTTCCATAAAAGGTTTCATTATCACTATCTTGTTTATTTAGACCTTTGAATTTGCTCAAATCTTGACGGATCTTAACTGCAGCGTGTGCTTATTTGTGATGTAATAGGTTTCATATGAATCTGCAGCTCAAATCTGGCCAGCATTTCCAAATAATCCACCCCTTCACGCTGCATCCCTCTGCGTAACACTGTGACATAACCCCAGAGCTGCAGTTAGGAAGTGACCCTAAAGCAAAACATACAAAAAAACCTCTGAATATATTGCTGACATGTATGTTGATATATATCCACAGCTAAGTATTTACTGTATAGTGTTATAAAACAGTGACAGTACCCCTTAAAAACACAATATTAACAATGTAGAATTTATTTAATGTTGTAAAGATTAACTTAATACGTACAAAATTCCGATAAATAACATCATAATGGTACTGCAATTCCCCGTGAGTGTTCAAATCAAATGATAATATCACACTAGGGTGTGCAAACAAGACAGGCGGAGGTGCCGAGATAAACCCGATGTGTCCATGACCTTAGTGTTTTTCTTCTGCTACTTCTTCTTTTTTTCCTTTAAATAAAAAAAAGCTCAGGTCGAAGCTGAGATGGTTTGCTTAAAAAAAAAATTATTATTTAACAGTTCAGTCAGTATATTTGGCTTATAAAACTATCGAACTCATGCTCAGAGTCAAGTAAAACCAGTTCGTAAGACTAAGTAAAACCCAGTACAGAACAAACTGTGACACATTGCCTTGTTGAGCAATATAGATTGCAGAAGCAAGAGCAATGCAACAGCAAGTTTTTTGAGGTATCGGAGATTGACGTAAATCCTTTCACTTAGGTGTAGCCACCAAGCAGGAATCCTTTAAGCAAACCCGATCAAGTAGGTTGACAGAGAAAAGACTGGTAAATTAGACAAGAATGGATGCCTTAGCAGAGTCTGTCATACAGGTATCAAATCCTTTTTAACTGGGAAGACAGCCCACGTCAAGCCATCACCATGTGGGGGGTGAGCAGAGGGAAGGAGAACACGCGTCACCCAGTGACTAAAAACAAAAGACAAAAACAAAAGCAGAAATTACAAGAAGCACAAGGTAACATTAGTCACATAAGGTGCAGAAAACAAAACAGATTTCTGTTTCTTAGAAAACAGAAATCTGAGAGGGAGAGAGACAAACCTTCTCTTCTCCACACCTAAGAAGATTTTCCAGTTATTCAACCTGCTGTAGTTAAAGGGGTTTCTGTAAACCTGACAGAAAAACAAAAGAACAGGAACATGTTACAAATGACCAACGTCACTTTAACCAAAGGAAAAAATATATATTTTGAGGATTTGAAGTCTCCTATGTCTTATCACAACATAACCTTCACATTTTATTTATGTTCATGGCTACCTTTCCCCATTTGGCCATCCGCTTTGTTTCTTTGCTGTTGATATGTCTTTCAATACTCGTCTCTCCTCTGGAGATGAGAACTGCATGCCAGAAGGTCAAAGCTCCCAGTGCCACTCCCACTGTGCTGTTACAACAAAGCACAATTCACTTTATCCTCTGCATGGATGACAAAGACAACAATCCTGCTCTGATTCAACTCTACCTTTATACCCTACTGCTTTGAACAAGAAGTAAGAAGTAAAACGAGTGTGAGATTACATACCCAGAATCCTTCGACCGATAACACTTTCTTTTTTTTCCTCCTGCTATCTTCCTAAAGCAATGGTTAGATTTTTTTTATATTTCTTTGTAATTATCTTTAAATAATATCCATTAGCTCAATGCTCAAAATGAAGTTTGTGACCCCCTTGAAATTACCAGGATTTTTGAATGGATTATTAAAATTATGTATTCAAATATGTCACAATTACAAATATAATCTATTACTTGACTGAAAAACTCTCATTTTAATTCCTTTGTTGAGGAAGAAGCCATAGTCCAGGCTGAATAACCCTTTTAAGTTAGCAGTTCAATCAGACTTTAGCAAAAACTTTGGACCAGTAAATATTTCTGCATGTCTTAACTGGACAGCCAGGCCACCATCCCAACTGGTTAAGGTCTTTAACTGTCACTCGGGGTTTTTTTCCCCCTCAACTGTTCTGTTGTTTATTTTTTTATTTACATGTGTACTTGCTTGTTGTAACTATCCAACCTCTCCTAAGCGTCAGGCTTCTGTCCTGACATTCTCCCGAAAAGGTTTCTTGCCACAGTTTTGGATTCTCAGTCTGGGTCCTAACAAAGCAGCTCCAAATCATGATGCTAGCTCCCCCATGCTTAGTGCTTTTTTGTCTACCCATAAAATGCAGATCGGTGTCTTAGACGTGTTGTGGAACATCCAAGTGCATTGCAATTTAGCCAATTTTGCAGGTGATTGGCTGTTACCATTTATTTGTACACACTTTCTTATTGTGAATAGATGAATACCCAAGTATTTAGATTTTTTTTCTACTCCACTAGAATTTTACTTCTAATGAACTGGAAAGTTCCAATCCTGACTGTTAACAACACGACATGACTACATTTAATGAGAAATCAGAAATCCTTGTAAGTCAGTTATTAAAGTTTTTCTTGCATGTATGTGTGAAAAAGCAACATAAAATGCACTTTTTACCTGGTGAGGACCCACATGTAGATGATGCTCTTATGAATCATCTTATCCTTAAATGTGTATGGAGGAGCAGGGGTCTGATAGTGGGTCTTTCCAAAACAAAAAACAAACAAAAAAAGATAAGTAACTGAAAAAAATAAATAAACTTAATAATGCTGTGTGTTGGCTTTTGAAGCGCTACCTGGCCAGAAGGAAGAAGCCCTATAAGCAGTCCCATCCCTGTTACCGGTATTCCAGGCTTTTCCAATTCCAAATGTTTGAAGTGCTAATGGAACAGCCCACAAACCCAAGCATTAAAGACAGAAAAAAAGCAGAGTCAATAAAGAAATGCTAAGGCCCCAAAGAGAAAGACACCAGACATGGAGGCTTTAAAACAAATCTAACTACAACAAAGCACCAGCAGACCTACAGGCAGCAACAGCCCGACTATCTCACCTCGAGTGCATTGTATGCATCTAGGAACAGGTTTCTCCCACTGATGCTACAGTAGATACAGCCCAAGGTCATGAAGAGACAGAAGGAGAAGAAGTAACGGTGATTAAAATGGCCCACACAGTTATTCAACCAGGCTGAGGTGCTGACATTAAGGAAAATTATGTCCATCTCTCTCTATAAACATATACATTTTCTGACGTGCTTCTGAAATAATAAGCTGGAATAAATTCAGCACAAAGGATACGACAATGATGGTCCATTTTCAAAATGCATCTGCAAAAGCAAGAGAAAAACATTAGTTTGATAATTGGTATTTTAGTTGTGTGATTTTTTTTAAGGGAATGTATTCTAATCATATCTCAAACTGCAAAATAATAGTCTGGGAAGACTTAAAGCATGATAAGATTTTATGGAATGAAGATAGCAATACTAGAAAAACTAACCTAGAGATACAAGAAGTCAACTGTCAATGAAAACATCTTAATTTTGAATGTTGCGATTTGATGTAGCCACATTAAAGGTCTTGCAACCACCAACATACTTTAGCTTTGACATTCAAACACCTGATACTTATAAACCTATAATAAAACAGATAAAAACTCACCTGTTACAGATCCCACAGTGGTGTGTTCTTGCTGGTTTAGGAATAATGCACTTTTTGCAGACTGATACAACTGGACCGTCATGTTTTTCCTACGACAAAATAAAAGTTTGTTTTGTTTTGTTTTTTTAAATACAAAATTTCCAGTTTAAAGTACAAAAAAAAAACTGTAGCTGATATCTTACTGTAGGGGGATACCCAGGAGAGGTGTTGGCGGCTTTGTAGTAATGGAAAGCAATCATGATGAGGTTCCAATGTCCATAACAAACATGCCAAGCGATCCACGGAGGAGAGTAAGTGTTGAGGATCAGAGGCAGCAAGACCACATAGGCTATCCCCACGATGGAGCTGGTCAGTATCACCACCAGGTAAACAAACACCTTAAAGAAAAAAGAATGATCAGACAATGTGAGCAGTTATGCAGGAAATCACATTAGATCTACATTTAAAGCTACATCCAAGAACACACATTTTTTTCATTACTGTCAAAACCCTTGGTGCAGGCTAATATCAAAGAGATTTTATGTGCCTACCCCCTCTTGTATTTAGGTCAGGAGTGTCTACACCTCAGATCTGAAACATTTTAATGAATGAGGATCTGTTGCTATCCAATAAGAAAGAGAATTGCCCCCGCGAAATGTTTGTTGTGCAGACTTGATATAACACTACCAATAATGATTATCTGAAGTTAGGGGGACTGTGATCATAGGAGCTTTGGTAGTTAACAAAATCAGACGTTCACAAAAAAAAAAATGTCATTGTTTGTTGTTATTATACCACAAACAACAACTGTGACCTGTGTATGGAAGATCATATTTTGACCAATTCCAAGAAGGTTAATGTCCTTATTTTCCATCACTGCAGTGGTCTCCAGAAAATAAACAAAAAAACAACAACAACAACAACTTTCTCATAACCATTTAAAAGCACACTCACCAGACCAAACCACCGGGTGACGTAATCCACAGTCAGGAAAACTGGTTCAAAGACTGAGTCAAAAACCACATCTGAGTCTGTGAGCGAGTTAAAGTAGAGTGATTTTGCCAGCAGTCTCATATAAGCCCATATTTCCCTAATCCACAAAGGAAGCCTGTTCTGTCCCCGCCTGCTACACAACCGCAGCCGCACACAGCGCAGCAGGTGAAACGCAGAGCTCGAACACCACCGCATTCTGCATTTGTAAAATGCAAGCACCTGCAGGAAGAAAGAAAACATTACGATTAATGAAAGTCAATCGTAAACTCTCACTTCCACACCTCTCCCAACCTGACGTGCAAGACTTAAAAAAATGTGAGGAATGTGTATGCTGCTATGTCTAACACAAATTTCATATGTACAACAGGAATAATAAAAAAAAGGAATTCAACACAATTTGGCAACACAAAAGGAAAATGATAAGTTTGTTGATAACAAACAACCCAAGCCCCAAGGATACTCCATTTACTCTTACCTATAAGAAAAATAAATACATAGTTAACAGCAGCTGAAAAAGAGAGAACGCGTCTGCCCTAATCAGCTCGGTTGAGCAATGTCTGACTTACCAATAGGTGAATTTCAGAGCCAGACAACTTGGACTTCTTTTTCCCAGTGAATTTGTTTTGACCGCTAGTGATATCAGTTTCAGAGAGCTGACACCTAAACTACTTCATTAGGTACGACTAAAGGCGTGAGTGAAAGAGCCAGAGGTTTGCAGGTACATACAACAGAAATGCACAGGTAACCAGAAGAACATGTGTTTCCAACATGTACCAGTCTTGCTGTGCTGCATTCCAGACAGGGTGGAGTCTGGGTGGAGGCTTTTGGCAGCTAGATAAGGTGTGAGGGGGACAATGATTTTTGTTGTGGAGTAGGCTGGTCACCTGCAGTTAATGACAAGCAAGCCAAAAACCACTGCATGGCGATCAGCCATAGCTGTCACCTCCCTGAATAAAGTAACACTCAATGTGTCCATAAGACATGTTGTTGTGAATACTCTCCGTGAGTCATAGCGCTCCCAAATCCCTTATTTTTGGATGTCACATACTGCTCTCCTTTTCAAATATTCGTCTCGCGCCGTGCATCATATTTTACTGATATTTTACAACATTTCTTTTTTACTCACTGTTTTATGAAGACGAGACCCCCACCGAGACCACCCCTCCCGTCAACATTTTCAAAAGGAAGACAAAAAACGGGATTATAGCCACATATTAGCGAGGAGGAGCAGGATCACGGACCTGTGACAGTTAAGAGCGGAATCCTCCAATTAATGCGCATGCGCTGGAACACCACCGAACGGCATCGTGGTAGTCTGAGTCAGGAAGTGATTTCAACAGTTATTTTTACTTCAGGACTTGACATTTATGTTTCTGAATTTTCTGTATTTTATGTTATAACACGTACACACACGTATAACGATTCGGCTACATGCATAACTGAAATATAACATATAGCATAACTGGTGGGGGGGGTGTCTCAGACGTTTGGGACATGTAGTTTTTTATCCATAGCAGCCTTGCTAGCTACGCATGCCATGTTGAGCCAGCCTTTGGTAGAACCTGTTTGAAACTGTGATCCAAATCTTCTATCCTCAAACTTAGTGAACGGTGGTGTCAGTCAGCATGTCGTTTTGTTTTAACTTCGACCTTCCAGCACAAACAACAGGCCCCGGAGACGTGGATGGAAATGAATTGCAGCACGGAAATAAAGATCATGCTGTCGTATCTGTGAGTAACATTCGCTTACCTATGATGTGCCATAGCTTAAGTTACTCAGAGTGCTCTAAGTACCGCCGCGTAACTAGTAATAGCAGAAGTAACGTTCAAGCTAGCAATTGCGGTGCTGTAAAGCAAGTTTAGACTTGGACCCTCTGCGAGAGTGTGGGAAGAACATTTATGGCTGCAGGCAGAAAACTTACAAAGCCCCAGAAATGTATCTGTCTGTCATAAATGCCTTTATGTAAGTAGTAACAACAGCACTGCTTTCCTATTCTTTTCCTATAACTTCCCATTATTTGTGATCCTTTGATATTTTTATCAAAGGATCACAAATAAGCCCGGGGCAACATCGAAAGAGAGCAAAAATAATAAGGTTCTTGAACATTATAGTTTATTTTTTAACTGTGGAAAATCATCTGTAATAAAGCAATTGACTACAAGTACAGCAGACAAAATCTGCCTAGGTTTGCCTACATTTCAATATATTCTGTGATCTGTACATTAGAATAGATTACATCTAAACACGTGAATAAATATTTAAAAGCTGATATGAAAAAATATTGATTAAAAATACATTTGGTTTACTGCTACAAATGATAAATAATTCCGAAAGTCTTTAAGTAGAAAAATGAGAAGAGATTTGTGTAACATTTACCAATTGTAATGTAGAATAAATAATTTAGTTTTTTTTTTAAAGACAAGCAAATAGAAGCTTTTTTTTTTTCGCCTATGGCAGCCCTGTCAAAATTATATTTAGATAAGACTTAACATTAAATCAAAGTGTAGAATAGTCCAAAAACAATTGTGAAGATAAACGTATAGAGGGGCGTCGGTGTAACGGTTAGCGCATTCCCTGAACAAACCAAAGGTTGGTGGTTTGATTCCAGCGAAATGCACAAATCCTCTTTGGGGTTACAAGTACAAACATCCCACAGAAAAAGAAGCCAAATCAAACATGCAGCCCTAAACTCTGCGGCGATCCCTTGTGACGAGGGAGCAGCCAAAGTTAGCTTTAATTTGTAAAGATAAACCTGTCTTATGTTAAAGGGGACAAAGGTAAAAATCCATCCTCACTAAAGCACAAGCTGTTCAATTAAACAATGCTGTAAATTCTGACCGCATGAGCTTTAAAAAAGCAATAAAAATTCTTTAATTTTGTGTGCATCCACTAGAGAGCGTAGGCTGTTAACATCTGCTTGTTAACATTACAGGATAAGGCATGTTAAAGCGGAAACAATCCAAATTGTTAAAGTACTGTGTGCTTTGTTATTGTTATGTATGACACAAAACTTCTGAGGTATGCAACAGACTTTACTGGCATTTAAATCTAAACTGTTCGGCTCCACTGAGTTAGACGACATGAGCATTTACACCTACCAGTCCAGAGAAGCAAACGTCATTTCAGTCACGGTGACTCACATGGCTGATGCATAACATTCTCATGTTTGAGTGATTTATCAGTCAACTGACCTTTTACATCATTATTACAAGAAAACAAATCACAGTGGTAAAAGCATACTATACCTGGTATGTACACACAGAATTGAGTAAATCTTTGTTACAACATTTGAATAGACTAATTAACTTTAAACCAAACAACAGACTTTTATGTTTTAATAACTGACATTGTTGCATTTTATAGGTCCCAAAGAAGATTTCGCAACATTTATGTGCAGATGTTAGCCATTCTTACAGTAACATCAAGCCACCCCCCATTTTCAGTGTAACTGTCAAAGCGGTTTTAACATCACCACTAGTTATGACATTTTTCCATCTTTTTTCCTGCATGCCCCACTTCATCCATCCATATTTTGCTTGAAGCAGGGTTGTGGAGCAGCTGGAGCCTGTCCCAGCTTTCACAGGGCAGGAGGAAGGGTGCGTTGTGGAGAGGCTACCATTCTCTTACAGGGCTAACATAGAAAGAAAAATAACCACGCGTGCTTGTTTTTACACCTACAGCAAAATTTATAATCGCCAATTAACCTAACATAAAACTCCACACAAAGCCATGTGTGTGGAGTTTCAAACCCAGGACTTTCTTCCTGTGCGACAACAGGAAGACAGTTAACCACCACACCACTGTGCCGCCTGTGCTCCACTTCAGAAAATGAAAAAACGTTAGAACGCTACATACCAAAATATTTGTTACTCATTAACCCTAACTTTAATAAATAAAACTGCGTTATTGTGAAACGGAAAACTTTTGCTCATGTCACAACATGTGACCATCACCCACATACATGTCTGAGGCGTGTGGTTTTATTATCAACTGTGCATACTGCTTTCTGTTTGCAGGTAGAGGACGGCCCCAAACCAGCACAACCAGTAAAAGAGGCCAGCGAGCACTTTCCGCCATCCGATCCACAGTTCCTCCTTATGGATGCCATCTTTGAAACGGTTACAGTTGGAACTCTTCCTCCTCTGCACTTCCTCAATGAGACCGTTTTTGAGAAGACTGCGTCAGAGAGAGAGGACAGCGAAAAAATTCTTTCACGCACAGCGGAGCAGAAGTCTGACCTCATCTCTGGTGTGTACGAGGGAGGGCTGAAGGTGTGGGAGTGCACGTATGACCTTCTGGAGTTGATTGAGAAAGATGGAGAGACCTTTGGGGGGAAGGCGGTTTTGGATTTGGGCTGTGGCGCAGGGCTGCTGGGAATACTGGCTCTGAAGAGGGGAGCCAGTCAGGTCCACTTCCAAGATTATAACAGTACAGTCATTGAACAGCTCACAGTGCCAAATGTAATGCTAAACTGCCAAGAGGATGATGAAGTAGACAGTGAAGATGACAAAGAAGGGAGTGGTAAGGGAAAAATGAAGGAGGAAGACGGTTCTAAAAAGAAGGCGAAAGGGCAGAAGGAGATCACAGAAAACAGCCCACCTCCTAAGAAGCAAGCCATAGACTTAGCCCAGCACCCATTACTAACCAGGTGTCATTTTTACTCTGGTGACTGGAGCACATTTCTCGCTTTGGTTCTAAAGGCAGATCCACCACCCAAATATGATCTTATATTCACATCAGAGACTATCTACAACACTGCGTACTACCCTGCTCTACACGAGACCCTGCGCAAACTGTTGGCACCAGATGGTCTGGTCTACCTCGCCACCAAATCCCACTACTTTGGTGTAGGTGGTGGACTACATCTCTTTGAAACATTTGTGGAGCAGAGGGATGTTTTCTCTGTGGATCATCTGTGGGATGGAGAAGAAGGACTTCAGAGACATGTAGTAGTACTGCGTTTTAAAAAGTCAAAGGACGCTTGAGTAAGGAATGTCAGGAACTCATCGGTTTTATCTGTAATTGATTTATTGATGAAAAACTGAATGAAAATAAAAAATAGAGCAAGGCTATTGCTTGATTATTGTGTGCAGTCCTGAATCAGCCAGCTGTGTCGTTATGACTCCTGTCTTTATTTTGGTATGTTAAAACTGCCGTGGTTAAACAAGGAAAAGCTGCAATGAAAACACACTATTGGCTCATATTTGCTCTTTTGTTACCTACACCTTCTTTCACTTCCTATATCGAAATTTGAATATGTCTGCCAGTAACTGAAGTGCAGTTGAAAGGGGCTGTTACAGGTCTTTAGATGCATGGAGAGGAAAGAAAGGAAATGGGTTCAGTGACCTTTGCGAGTGATTTCCCCAGTGTTCAAACACCAGCATGAAAGCCAGGCTTGTTTCTGAAGTCCAGCACAAAATGTCAATTGCAACTTATCCCACTAGCTCAAGGATGTAGTTTGAAAGTGGATTCTGGAGTCACTGATCATCAATGGTGGGACTCTGTGGGGTCTCTGTAGCTCTTATTCTACTGGTTTCCTTTCAGTGAAGTTCACCACATAATCTGGCAACAGTGCAAATTTAAAAAAAAAACATTTTTGAAAATGTCTACACATATGCCTATGCAGGAAGTATGGGCAAATATCCATCCAAAATCAAGAAAGGGAGTTTTGCTGTAATTTTTCCATCTCCATGTGGAATCCCCTTTTTGTCCAGCTCAAGGAAATCCGTCTACTTTTTTTCGAATAGGGCTTTTTTTTCTGGGGAAGTATGCCTCAAGTCCAGACCAGTTTCTCGCATTTGAGGTGACTAAATAAGAGGATGAGGAAGTCAGAGGGTTTTCACAGGGTCACTCGGCAATGAAACTGAATAACACTGCCTGATGTGTTGTTCTGAAATTGTCGTTTTAGCCCGCCGACCCGGTCTCATCCGTGTGACTAAATACAACCTGTACGTGTGTCGTGTTTGACTATGATCGGAAAGCAAACAAAGGTTCTTTTACAATACAGCCCTATCAGACCCCACCTGAATAGATGACTCCAGCTACACAAACATTCTCAAGAATCTATCTCATCCTAAACATACCCGTGACGTCAGCACTGTAGAGACCCGCTGATAAAATAATATTTAGCAAAGATTAAGAAAAAAGAAAAACTTTTAGGAAACATAATGTCACCAGCTCTAACATGACTGTGCATTTCAACACCCACAGTGTGTGGACAGAATTTCCAGCAGCTTATTATGTAAATATACTGTAGTGTTAAATGCTATTTCACTCAGAGAAACATAAAATACACCAAACATGGTTTCTGTTTGCATATGCCTGGCCGGCAAACTTCCACTGTGTCCGCTTCGTCATCGTCTCTCATCTTGACAGCTGTTCAGGGCCTGTGGGGGAATTCCTGGCCCCTCCAGTAGACACAGCCTTTCCCCTGCTTACTTTATGGGAACAAGGGGGCAGGGCAAGTCAGATGGTTTTCCTCAGAAACTATTATGTGTTGATTCACTGTGAGGGGGCGTGTTTTACACTCCCACTGCTTCCTTCTTACTGGGAAGTGACTGTCGGGCTTACCGTACAGAGGGAGTGTATGAAAAACAGAGAGGAGGGAGGCTGATGGGTGATGTGAAAGGTGGCAAGATATTTAAGTGCTTCTTTCTGTGAATGTCAGACAGTGTGCTGCATCCATCCCTGGGACCTGGAGGACATTGGGGAGCGAGCAGAATGTGCAGGTGATTTGAGGAGGAATGTATATTTGCCGAGTTTGAAGAAGCCTGCTGCTTTCTTTCTGGTGAGATGGGACTGCGAAAGTGTGTTGTTTTTAAAGCTTGACTATGAAATAATCCTGGGAGGCCTTTATGAGGAGGTTTGTTTATGACATAACCAGGATCAGGAAAGGAAATCAATGAAACCGAGGTAAGTATATTAAAAGAAAACTCTCAGTATGGTCAAATCGAGTGTGTGGTTTTCAAAAAGCTTATACAAAATGACATGTGTTTTTTGGGTGTGTGGGGGGGGGTTGAACATTTTTTTAATTAGGTCAAAGAAATGGTAACTTCTTCATTCTTTGAGCAAAAAGCAAATGAAGGCTTTTAAACCTGCCACACTGTGAAATTTTTTTGATGTAGACTTTGAAGAAACAGTTAATGATCTCATAGGGGATTGGCCTTGTCTAGTGATAGGCCGTAGAACCGGTTGTTTCCCAGTCCAACTGCCGGAAAGATATGAGTTTCCTGAACATACTCAGGTGTGGCCTTCCTTCGAAAGTTCATCGTGCTGTACTGTACCTTAAAAGAATGCACCATCATAATGGATAAACTTGGATTGAGATAACACAGACAAATTATCTTCACTGTATCTTCACTGTCAACATTGACTCCAGGCCTTGAATGAGGTGTGGGGTGGCGGGGGGTTTCTTTCTTTTTCTCTTGTTACCGTAAATAAAAGAGGCGAGTCTATCACAGTCAGTTAATAGCATACTTACTTTGCAGGGTTCAAAGATACGTCGACTAACTGTATGTCACTAATCACACAGTCCTAAAGCGCTTTTACTGGGAGTGTACTGCTGTAACTGATGAGTCATTTCATGCCTTGACCAGAGCACTATCACCACGATCTGATTCAGTGCTTCCAGTGGACAGACTTGCATTTCAGTAGTTTTGAAGCATTTCCAGGAACACAGATGAAAAAAAAAACCAAGTTGGATTGCTCAAATGATCCTGAAACTCTCCATATGTTCTCTAACCACAGAATCGTTTCCGTTCTTGGGAGCTTGTTTCCCACTTTACTTTCATTTTCAACGTATAAAAAAACACCTCTTAACCCCTGCAAATTAACAGCATTTTTTTTTTCAACGACTTCATACACCACTTTGTTTAGCTAATGTTAAATGTGACTAATCCCTTCAGTTGCCACAGTAATGACCTCTTGCTCAATCTTACTCTGGAAGAAGTACAGCTGACGTTATCATTTCATCATTACCCAGCCTTTCTTCAGAAATTGGGATCGGTAACCTAACCCCAACATGCTTCTCAACATGTGTCACTTAACTGCAGCCCACATTTATTGTGAAGTTTTTAGAGTTTACTAATTTTATTATTCTTATAGTTGGCTTTTTTTTTCATTATTTAATGGGAGATTTAATTAGATGTGAAAAGAGTTAGTATTGAAGTATGAGCTGTGTAAATCGATAAAGCCATTCAAGGATCCAGAAGTGCCCGAAGAACAGATTTTAATGTGTGCTCTACTATGAGAACTGAATTCCATAGATGGTGACATCTTCAGGTGTCATCTATGGGCTCAGTTCTTTTGGCATGGTACTAGTTTGTCAGCCGTACGGCGCAGCACCGCCGAAGTTACCACCGTGTGAAATCAATAAAATAATGCTTGGTGTTAAGTTTGTATGAAGATTCCTGTGAATGAGGAGTTAATTTTTAATTGCACATATTATTGCTGTGAATAAAGCATACATTTTGAAATGACTAATGTGTTTCTCAGTATTATTATAAAGTGTCATTATGTATTGTTAATAAACCCAATCAAAAGTCAACCGTATTTGTGGGGATTTTATTAATTAATAGCAATTTTTTAAAAGGAAAAATTATGGTAAAAAGTATGTCAGAAAGTTCAAGAGCTGCTCTGCTACGTATTTAATGCTGATATAATTTTACCAGCTCTTGCTCGGCATTATTAAGCTATAGCCATGCTAAAGTTAAAAATGTTAAACACACACACACACCCACACACACATATGTGTGTGTGTGTGTGTGTGTGCGTGTGTGTGTGTGCGTATGTTGCCTCTCATAAATGTTATTTTATTTTTTAACATTTTTAACTCCAACATGGCTATAGCTTAATAATTCCAAAATGCTGCAAGAGCTGGTAAAAGTATGTCAGTATTAAATACGTGCTTTCTTTTTGACTTAATTAATCGGTAATGTAAGTTTTGCCTTCAGTGCAAAAATCTGACGTATAACTTACAAAACACCACGTTTTTGTATAGTCATTCAGGACGGGAATGCTCACCTACATATATTGTAGTTATGACACACCAGAACAGGTTTAAAGCAACTCATTTCTGGTATCAGCGTTGGCAACTCAAGTTAAATTAAGCAGTGTAGTGTTACACTTGGTGGGAATGAAAGACGTATGCAATTTCTATAATACTGTTATCACTAAATGACATTATGATGTGGGTCTTTGTAACCAGCACTGAAACAGTAAATATCAAGTGAATCATAGTGCTCACAGGGCTGCCACATCATTACATCTAAGCTACATTCAAAATGAAAGTGTATTAGCTATCTTTTCCTCTTCTTATCTACGCCCCGCATAAACCATGTCCCCTTTTGTTAATGCACCGTCCTTTTTAGTTTTAATTTGTGCCATTTGCAGTGGAGGCGTTCTCTCAAAACAGCTCCCAGATGTGTCTCTGAAAGTCAGTCTGGAAAAAGCCATACACTGTACACAAAGTCTTTTGATAATGTCTGGAAGCATCATGACAGGACAATACATCATTTCCAACCTCACCTAAGAAATCTCCCATTTTGGTGTGTGTGTGTG